TTAGGCAAGGTTCGTTTGAAAGAGGTTGACACGCACGCACGCATCTACATACGTATATGTGTACAAATACCTGTGTTTGCTCTGCATCAGCTTCCATCTCCAATTCTGCAATGTGTGTCCGAAACCTACTCCTCATGCAAGCTAAAGTCCAAACCGGTGGGTTTCCCCTTTGGCTTCCCTTTCGAAGCTGCCCAAAAATGCGACCCTTCGCCTCAAAAAGACCGCCCTCTCCCCGCGATCCCGAAAGGGCGCCTCAGCGCGAGCTCGGCGAAGGCGGCGCAGCGCTTCTCGTCCCAGGCCACGCTGTCCCAGAACATCCGCCCGCTGGGGGAGTCGAATCGAATCTCAGCGTCCCAAAAGCGAAAAGCGAAGTTCGGAGGTTCTCTGGTGTATGTTTGGTGTGTGTCTCCCTCCAGGTTTTGTGGGTGCATGTTTGGTTGGGCGGGCTTTGCTATGGATATTTGCGGATGTCCTGCGGTTGAGGCAGAGCTCCCATGGCCCCTTGTATGATTTCCGAATGTCAGTAAAGTCCAAGAGGCACTGGAAGGGTGGTCCGTTGAACTTCGAAACATGGATTGTTTGGCCTTGGCAAAAAGGCCATCTGCTGAAACACTATGTATGGCAAATACTGCTCAATGGTTTGGCCACTTCAGTTCCAGTACCGCTGACAGGGGTGAACCATCACCGCGGTAGGCTGGTTCCGGCTGTCACGAAGCTTGCTGTATCCCCGCAGCCGGTAGCAATGCAACTATCTCAGGCCTGGCCCCCATGCTTCGAGAGGGGGAGGGAGCCCAAACAAGCATATACAAGGCCTTCAGGGCTTACACACAAAAAAAAAAAAAAAACACGATATTTGCACAAAAAAAAACACACACATATTTGCCCCCCCCCCCCCCCAAGCCCGCATGAAACGCGACCTGCGGCAAGCCAGAAGAATTGTTCGCATTTCGCACTGAGTTTGTACTCAGAACCAGCGCTAGGAACTTGACAATTCAACATCCGACTGCCCCACTCAGCCAGCGCTTTGATCTACTCTTTGTCCGGGTCCGTGCACCTGCTATCTTCACAAATCCCAACTTCGACCTAGGTGAAACAACACATTCCTTCCTGCTGACATCCCAATTGGCTTGGCTTCTCCCTGAGCACCCGACCATTCCTTTTTCAGCTCCATTTTCTCGCATGTGTTGTCTTCTCCGCGTGTGCATTTGCATATCCTATCCCCGCCGAAGAACGGCTGGTGATTTGCATAAGCCGCCGCGCTGACAGCCGCTTGGATGCGTATTCTTGGGCTTCCGCTGAAAACACCCTCAAAAAGAGTGCCCTCGACGGACCAGAAAAGGACACGGAACTGCTGGCCTTCTACCAAAACTTGTGACTCTCAGAAAAGGGCCTTGCAAAGATGCTGCTCCCATTTCCAGCATTCTACCAATGAGATGGGGAGACGTTCATGACATTGAGCTTGCCAACTAGCCAAAGCAAACAGAATGTGATCTCCGACCTCATCAAGGTCATCCCTGACCTCATGGATGAGAGGAATCCCCCAAAAATGACTGAATTTCCCGCTGAAAAGGGAGTCCTCTGAGCATAGTCCTCCGCATGTTGACACTACCATGCACCTGTAAATCCCCCAAATTTCAGAGCGGCGGCTCCCCCCCGCGCCTCGCCGACTCGCTGACTCCCCGATCCGGCGCCCGTTTCCGGCGCCAGTTGCTCCTTTGCCAACCGGCAAGTTGGGCACCTTCTGTGCCGAAATCGGATGTGAAGGCTCGCGAGCTTGCTCCTTCGCAGAAAAACGAAGTCTCTGCAAAACACAAGGAGCAATCCCGCCTGTAGGAATATATGCTCTCTCCTGACCAGCTCCAAGGCTTCCGCAAGTGTTTGCGCATCTCGTCTGATTCCACAGAAATGCCTTTCCAATGAGGCGGATAGCAATGGGTAGCATCTGGAGAGAGCAAAGACCGACTTTGAAGCACGCCAAGATGTCGAAGGAAAGAGATGTCCAAACAAGTGTCCAGCCTGTTGTGCCTTTGGATACAGGACAAGAAAGGATAATGTCGGCGTATGGCTGCACAAGCGGAAAGGAAACCCTAATGAAGGGCTTGGACAAACCCATGGTCCTGTGTCATGGTCCACGTTGCCCCCCAAGTCAATATTTAGTTGTGTTTGCGTTGTGACGGTATCCGTTTGGTCTTGGTCAAAGTGAAAAGACAAGGGGAACCACTATGTTGTGGGTCCCTTATTTTTGATACATACCCAAGGGATGAACAGCTATGGGAAGATACATAGACTCAAGAGCAAGCAAGTGCCTACGGTCCGTTGACGGAAAACTTGCATTTATGTTGATTCAAGTGGCACGGTCTTAAGTAGAAATGATTTCCACATTTACTTGCGGAAGCATTGACAATTCTGCCTGTGGCTTTCAGACATCACCAGGGAAACCATGACCAACCCCTTGACAACCTTCAAAGACCCAGCCATGTTTGTCTTTCAGAGCCCAGTGGGAGTTGCTTGCTCGCGTTGGAAGGGCATCTTAATGTACATATGTATAGCTGCGAATCGAAACACTGGTCGATATTGAGCATGCAAACAAATACATGACTATATGTATATATATCAAAATTCAATAGAATAGAATAGAATGGAATAGAATAGACAAGAATACAATGGACGACAATAGAATACAATAGAATACTACAGAATACAATACCATACAATGTACATGACAAACCATGACATAACAATAATAAACAAATATGATATAATATACTATGATATACTATGATATGATATAATACAATATGATATGATATAATATGATAAAATAAGACTTGATATGATATGATAAAATAAGACATGGTATGATATTATATCAAATAGTATAATATAATATACTACGATGTGCTGTGTTTAATATGTATATAACAGTAATAATAATAATGATACTAATAATAATAGTCATTAGCACAAAAATAGTTAATAATGATAATAATCATACTAGTCATGAATAATAATCGTAATAGTAATAATAATAAAAATAAATAATAATAATAATAATAATAATAATAATAACAATAATATAAACATAATGTATAGTATATTCTATATAATATGGGTGCGGTTTATTTTGGTAATTTTTTCGTTTTTTTTTTTTGAATTTTTTTTTCGTTTTTTCGTCCAGACAGTAAAATGTTGTATTTTACAGCATTTTCTCCGAAATTGCCGCATTTTACACTAGCTCTTCAACATCCCCAGCATCGTTTTCAACATCCCCCGCATGTCCAACCAACATCCCCTAGCATCACCAACAAATTGTGGGTAACAAAATCCAAAAATGTAGCTGCGGGTTGACGGGGTCAAAAAAATAATGCTTCAAACAGGAGGGCATTTCAATCCCAGAAAAAAAAGAAAAAAAGAAACAATTAAAAAAAAAGAGCAGGGGTTGGGGGGCGGCAGCCCCCCCCATAATGGTTGCAGTAGTGATGATTGAATAGGGGTGCAATTAAATCTCTGCAAAAAGTCTAAAAAGTAGCGGGGGGTTGGGTGGGGCGGCAGCCCCCCCATGATGTTCGAAGAATTGATGATTCAACTTGGGTGCAATTAATTAATTCTCTGTAGAAAATCTAAAACGTAGCGGGGGTTGGGGGGGGCAGCCTGCATGATGTGGGAAGAAGTGATGATTGGACATACATGGACTACACAGATTACCTAAAATGTCGTATTTTGCAGCATTTTCTCGCGAAATTGGACGCTCTGAAAAAGTGATGATTCAAACAGGGGTGCAATTCAATCTGCCGGGCCAGTAAAGTGTCGTATTTTACAGCATTTTCTCGCGAAATTGATGCATTTACACTAGCCCGTCAACATCCCCGCATGTCCGACCAACATCCCTAGCATCACCAACAAATCGTGTGATGATTCAAGTAGGAGGGCATGTCAATCCCTATTTAAAAAAATGAATAAAAAGTAGCGGTTGCAGAAGTGATGATTTGAACAGGTGCAATTAAATCTTTGCAAAAAGAAAAAAAAGTAGCAGCCGCCCCCCCCCCGAAGAATTGATGATTCAACGGTGCAATTAATTAAATCTCTGTAGAAATCTAAAACGTAGCGAGGGGGTTCGGGGCGGCACCCCCATGATGTCGGAAGAAGTGGTGATTCAAGTAGGGTGCAATGATTCAAGAAAGGGTGTGATAGAATTTAAAAGGCAAAAAGTCTAAAAAGTAGCAGGGGGGTTGGGGGGGCCCCATGATGTTCGAAGAATTGATGATTCAACTAGGGGTGCAACTAATTAAATCTCTGCAGAAAATCTAAAACGTAGCGGGGGGGTTAGGGGGGGGGCAGCCCCATGATGTCGGAAAAACGCCACCTGCCGAAGAGGAACTGGGAATGCAGAGGATGCGAAAAGCCAAAAAGCCACCAACAGCTGCATAAACCAGCAAAAAGCCGAAAAGCCTAGAAAGCCCAGAAGCCGAGAAGCCAAGAAGCCGAAAAGCCAAGAAGCCAAGAAGCCAAGAAGCCAGAAGCCCCAGAAGCCCAGAAGCCCAGAAGCCGAGAAGCCAAGAAGCCGAAAAGCCAAGAAGCCAAGAAGCCGAGAAGCCAAGAAGCCGAGAAGCCAAGAAGCCAAGAAGCCAAGAAGCCAGAAGCCAAGAAGCCAAGAAGCCAAGAAGCCAAGCCAAGAAGCCAAAAAAAAAAAAAAAAAAAAAAAAAAAAAAAAAAAAAAAAAAAAACATTCCTAAAATAAATACCCCTCCATATAATATACAATATATGATATAACATAATACGATACACTACAATATAATAACATAGCAAAATATAATGTAACATTATATTATATTGTATTACATTATATTAGAATACGACATGATGTAATAGAATTTGATTTAATTAGTATAATAATACAACACGACATAATACAACATAATATAGAGAGAGAGATGTCTGGCGACAAGAAACACCCAAATGCACATTACACGTGTGTGTGTGTGTGGGTGTGTGTTTGTGTGCCACTTATTCATCTTTGGCACGCCTCAAAGGCATAGGATGCACGGCCTCTTTGGGCTTTCTCACTCACCTGGCCTCGTGCCGAAGCGGACTTTGAATCGCCCCCCAGTTTTGGGTTGCTGAAACGGGAAACTCAAAGGACAACTTAAATCTATGTTCGCTGTCGTATTTTGACACACCCCAGTTTGGAGGGGGGAGTTCTCAAATCATGACGCCCTCAAAGGTTTGGTTTCCCTTTGGTTTCCCTGCAAATACCGGTGCCCAATCCATTTTGAGAAACCAGGGGATCTACCCGAAACGGACTTTCCCTCTCAGCCAATGGCACGAACCTGGAAAATGTGCTCTTGTATTTGTGGGTAACTTGGCCCTGCTAATTTGTTGGTACCTAAGCAGCCGCATGTAAAACTTTGCAGACGGTGCAAATCTGGAGGGGGCTCCTTGCAAGTACTTCAAGTAGAGTAGAACAGCCGAGGCCTTTTATGCGTCAGCATGGTCAAAAAAATATCTAACAAATCGCAGTGCGCAAGAGGTTTTATCTTGTCCCTCCAAAGATTGTCTTTCCTTTCTTTTAAACCCCTGCTATCTCCTGGGAAATTCTCTTGGGAACCTGGTGAGCCCGAGATGGCTCGATCTTCAGCTTAAGCCGAGCCCTCCGAACGGAGGGGACACGGGCGGATCAGCGGGCAACAGAGGAGGCAGGGCGCCAGTTGTTCACGATCTTGCTACGCGATCAACACCAAACACCATGTCACAGAAAGAAAGAAAGAAAGAAAGAAAGAAAGAAAGAAAGAAAGAAAGAAACGCAGAAGACACCAGAACTGACAAGATGGGAGATGAATGAATTTTGATAGGGATCCTCAACATATGACTCTTCTACGAAGCCCTTACTCAAGAGTTGATAGCAATTGCGATATGGTGACGGCCTTGCAAACAACTGTGGCGCTTGCCGATTGTCCGTGTTTCTTACAAACGGACTTTCAGCAAAGAGATGCTTCGGACAAAGATCCTGGCTCCTATCCAAACAAAGTCGAAACATCGCACGAAAGGCGAGATCCAAGGAGAAGAACTCCAAAGGGAAGGAACAGTTGTGGAACTTTCCCCCACTTCTATGACACTGTGAAGCCTTCCAACAAATTCTCAAGGGGGAAGTTGTCCAAGTCATACACTCACCTGTGGTTGAAAGGGAATCTAGGGAAACCAAAAGAGAATCCCTATCCGATCTTCATTTTGGGGTCCCCTATTTTTGACACCTGAGACCCAATCAGCCTTCCCACTGAGAGGGACGACCCCAAAACCTGCCGGGGTCCCCAATTGAGAGACGTTCTTGTGTATTTCTGACCCTGCGGATGTCCACCATGGTTGGATTTTTCGGCACTACCATGTTTGAAGGGCTTCAGTTTCAAGTTCGCCATAGCCAAGCCATTGCAAGGGTCCCCGAAGAAGGGAACGCGGAAATGGGTGGGGGGTTCAGGATACCCTTTTTGGGGGTTGTTTGGCAAACCAAAAGGAAGCCATCCATTGTCGTGGGCCAATCCTTACTTTGAAACATACACAAATGCCAAATGGGAGTTTCTCAACATGATGCACCTTCTTTACGCTGGTATTTAACCAAATGGAAAACCATTTTGAGAGGGGCACCCCCATTTTGAGAAACATCCAAGTAGGACCCGACCTGGCCTGGGGCTCCGCATCGCCAGGGCCTGCAGCGCCGGCGTGCGCCGCACCTGTCCGCAACCCGGCGTTGTTGTTGTTTTGTCTTTTTCGGTCAAGGGTCAAGGCAACAAAGGATCTTGGGAAGGGACGTCACACTGGATCAAAGGATTGCTCTTTCCGCGGGGGCAGAGTGCCATCCGATCCCAACGCTCGTTCCGAACGTTGGGGCGAAGGATTGTCAAAAGGATCGAAGCCAAAAAGAAAGGATCTTGCAAACGGCTGCTTGCTCAAAGGATCCAAGGATCTTCCAGAAGGATCAAAGGCAAAAGGATCTTGGAGAAGACAGCAAGTTCCGACGTTCTCCGAGACGGCAGTCCGGGAAGCCGGGCATTGGGCGAGAACGTTCCTGGGGAACGTGTCTGGTACCTGAAGCTCAGCGTCGGCCAGTCTGAGGTTACGAGAGTAGGCGGCTATGAAGAACATGGGTCATATGTTTGCCGGGGATTCGGATGTAAGTTAGGGATTCAGGTTAAGTTTTGTTTGAATCAGCATTCAAACGAGGGACTCCATTGGTTGTTGTTTTGGTTCCCTCCCAGAATTCTCTCCTCCCAAAAGTGACCCTGTTTTTATACGCTACTAAGATGCTTTCCCGATAAAACGGACAAGGGGTTGTTTGTTTAAACCAACATTGTGACCAACCCTACCCCCAAAGACTCCCGAAGGGTTAGCGGCACAATAAGCCTTGGGGAGAACAAGGCCAAATAAGGCCCTGTAAATACATACATAAATATATATATATATATATGCGCTCTCACATCCCCTCCCAGGACCCATTTTTCCCTGAAAAATCACATCTGATTCTGCTCCGCCACCCAACACAAACGGCCCAGCTAGGGCCAGCTGGGCGAATTTTGTTCTTCGCTCTGCTCATTGCCCTCAGGTGATTCAAGTTGCACGGTCACAGCATGAGTGAACGCAACACAGAAATATCCCATGCGATGCGCCAAAATGACATCTGATACATCCCAATCGGGAAGCTTGACCCATTCATCTCCGGATTGCTTGACATTCAGGCAAGCAATGCCTGCATCCAGGTCCATTTCGAAATCCAGCGTCATTCCTATTGTCATTTCTGCGGATGACGCTATCCATTTCTTCACCATCGTCCGGTTTGCGAATCTCTTGCAAAGCAGTCCCCGGCGATTCACAAAAATGGACTGGATTCCCTGGATGTCGTTCCCAAGACTGCAAGAAAAAACAAATCCTATCCCATCAGTTGCTGCGAGCTGACCCTCCAATATAGATACTCTGTACCTGTGCCTACCACCGTGTCGCAAGGCCGACTCATAGATCAGTTTCATTGCTCCGGTTCGGCTCGTCTTTGTGAAGACTGTTCCGGTTGCATCCAGTGTGCCGTATTTAAGGGAGGCACGATTCCACGAAGCAGACATGATCCCAGCAGCTGAAGAGTTCACTTGTGGTGGTTGAACTCTCCCTTCCAATAGTTTTGGCTCAGTACTGATGAAAGACGTCGCCGTTGCCTGTTCATAAGAATGCGAGGGTGAGTGGCTGGCAAAGCACTGCGAGAATTGATGATACCAAAAGATACTATCATTTTTCACGAATTCGCCGTCGCATCTTGTTGAGAAGCTTCGCTCCCATTTGGTTGCCTGACGACACAGCCAAGTGTCATAGCGAAGCTGTTGAACCCTTGGATGCCTCTCAGCATATATGACCGCTCGAACCGTTTTGACCAGTCCTGCATTGGCCAAGACCCGGAAGACGAACAACCGGCGGTTTGACAGGCTGTAAACCTTTCCGGAGTCAGTTCTCACCAGCTCCATTGGTGGGAACGGATCCATCACGGAAGGGTCGTTTAAACCGGCCTTTATGATGTCGTCGAGAGCATCCCCAGACCTAAACGCTGAAGATACGACGGCATGGGTGAAGCGAATCTCCAATGGATCCACCGCAACCCAAGCGCCTCCAAATTTCACAACAAGGCAATGCTGGCCATGGCTCTCACTCGCTTCCTTCATGCTCACCACAGGCTTCAGGCGTTGATTTGTAGTGACGTGGGAAAGAACAATTACTTCACCCGCAAAAATGTGATTGCGTGTCCAATGACAAGGGCCAGCCCTCATAAGATAGTGTAGGCAGGTGGTGCGGGGCTATTTCACCAATGTGACGAATGATACCGAGCAGCTTGTATTGAGTTTTCTTCAGACTGTCAGATGTGGAAAAGTGGATGGTGGCCATGCCAGGCAAAACATTGAAGACTAATACCAGATCTTTGAGGTCGAGCATTCTCGCCATTTCTCAGTTACACTACCCTGTTTTCATCCAGAAAGAGCGCGCGAAGTTGCTGAAAGTGAAACGGTCAATTTCATGTCCACTCCAGAATCGGGATGTGGGCGTGCCTCAAACGGCGACGCCCTGCTCGAAGAGATCGCTCGTGTTAAAGGTGCTGGCCAGGTTTCAGCAAACTGCATCTAAACTACTACACCAGCTGGGACCCCCTCACGGACATCACCTGATTCATTAGGAAACGGCGGTTTGGGAATGGGTACATGGTTGACAGTTTGTGGACAAACCGCCTGAGTTGACTGGCCCAAAGCTCAAACTTCAGCATTCAAAAGCAAAACAAAAATAAGCCAAAGGAACACAACGAAAAGCAAAACACGCGAGTACAAACAGGTGGGGCATAGAGTTGCAAAAGAAAACCCTTGAAATCGTGCCTCTTCAAAAGAAAGCAAGCCCCCTAGGAATCAGCCCCCCTAGGAATCAGCCAGAGGAATAAAACCAGATCTATTTCCATGAAAAGCCTCCCGGACAAGCCCGGCCTCCCCAGTCCCAGAGTCCCCCGGAGCTGTGCTTAATATTTACTGCGCCAACCCAATCAGCAAGTTGCATTCTGGGCAGAATATGGGTGTCTCTTTTTAGGAGACCCCCAAAATGAGTGGTGGTCCTGTGGGTTTCCCTTTAAAACCAAGGGTACCCATATGACTCATATCATGCCATCACAGTTCAAGGTATGGGTCACACCGCGTTTCTCTCAGCCCAAGCCACGACGTGGAACCAAAATGCCCCCTGAACTCAGACCGGGTCCCAGCGGTCCCTGGATCTTACAATGATCTTACAATGAACCTCCCTCCAAAAAGGTTGAAAGGGCCAAAGCAACCCACCAATCGGGTTTCTGGGAACTGCTGGAGAGTTCGCCGGGAACTTTCATGTGAAGCGCAGGTTGACTGAGTCAAGCATCAAAACAGGTATCTTTCTACAAGCGCTGAGGAACCCTTTTAAGGGTGAAGATCCAAAGCCTCTTCACTTGTCACCTGTCCCATGCTAACATTCTACGTGGGTAAGGAGGGGACGCCCTGGGCGGCAACGAGTGCTATGTGAAGCACATGGGGTGCTCCCAAGCTTGCATGTTGCTTCCCTTTCTAGTTTCTAGAACAACAAAAAGGTACCCTCAAACCATGAGACACACACACACATATGCACGTCATTGAGTCATTGTCTTGACTACAGTGACAGTGGCTAATGATGAATATTGACTGTTGTTCACGTCTATCGTCACTGGATTGCGGTGTTGCATCGACATCGCGCTTGCAGTTTCACATAGTTTCACCCCCAAGCCTGACTCTAAGCAACAAATGTTGTTCCCTTCTTCCAGCACACTCTTTGATCAGATTTGCCCCAGATTCTCAGATTCAAGCTTGCACTGGCACCTGGCCGCTATCACCGCAGTACTTAGGACGACCCCAGGTCACTACAGCCCCAGATTCAAGCATGGCAACAAAGCCCCTCGGATTCAAGAATGGCAGCAAAAGCGCAGGCAGTTGCTTGGATGTGCTGGACTCTTGCACGTGGCTGCTGTCTCCGCCAATTGCTGGATCGCCCCAGGTCACAACAGCAGTGGCAGCAAAACGCACAGACAGTTTCTTGGATATGCTGGACGTGCCTCAGGTGCGCTTGCACCTGGCTTCTGTTTCCGGTCACAACTGCCCGGATTCCAGAATGGCAGCAAATGCGCCGGTAGTTGCTTGAATGTGCTGGATGTTCTTCTGTTGTTGCACCTGGGTGCTTTCTTTGTCAACTTGTGGATCAACCACCCGAGATTTCTCAGCTGCTCTTGCACCCGGCTGCTGTCTCCGCCAACTGCTGGATCGCCCCAGGTCACTACAACTCTAGATTCAAGAACGCCAACAAAAGCATGCTTGGTTGCTTGGATGTGCAGGACGTTCCTCAGCTGCTCTTGCACCTGGCTGCTGTCTCCGCCGTGATCTGCATTACCCCAGATCACGACAAGCTCAGATTCAAGAATGGCAGCAAAAGCACGAGCAGTTGATTGGATGCACTGCACGTTCCTTGGCTGTTCTTGCACCTGGCTGCCGTGTCCGCCAACTCGTCAAGAATGGCAACAAATCCTCCACTGGCAGTTGCTTGGATGTGTTGGACGTGTTTCAGCTGCTCTTTCGCCTGGCTGCTGTCTCCATCGAGCAGCCCCTGGTCCAACCTCGACTTGATGGCCATGCCAAGTGAGGCGCGGTGAGACGGAGAAGTGGCTGCTGCGGTGGTGCAAAGCTGGCTGCCACTGATGGGGCGTCGCTTGGCATGGATACGAGCTGCTGCCCTTTTGCAGTGAGCTTCAAGCGGCGCTGGAAGTGCTGCTGCGCTGTATCCTTCAGCTCGCTGATGGGCGTCTCTGATAAGACTTCTATCGCAGTCATCTCCACTAGGCAAATGAACATCCACATGGCAGGGATTGGACCATGAACCTGAAACACAAGAACATGTAATCACACAGTGAGGTGGATCCCCACCGTGTGAGAGGCCTCAAACCCTGAGACACACCCAAGATCCGAACCCCGACCCCCATGAGGACAGTCTAACCGGCTTTATTGCACTGAAAATCTTCAGCTGAAGCCAGTACCCGTGATGTTCAACCGGATATTTGAGGATGTTCAACCTTCGCGGCAATTCATGTCAACCCCGCTTCAACCTGGTGAATCTAATGGTGTGCTGACACCAAGTAAAGAATTTCCGGAATTCTCTCATGGGACGCAATCAGCCTTCACAATAGGTTGCCTGGGTAAATGGCTGACTAGCGTTTCTATGACAAAGCACCTAAGAGTTGACTGGCCAAGGCTCAAACTTGGTTGCCCTCTGTTAACAGGCGCTCTAATGTGCTCAGATCTCAGTACTCTGCCCACCAACATGGACCGCTAACCCAGACCGGGTCCCTGTGGATTTCCGTCGGAAAAAACTGCACTCTTTGTTGGGTAGCTGATTTTAACAAGAACCTCCCTCCAAACAAAGTTGAAAAAAAGGACAAGGCAATCGAGGTTTCTGTGAAGAAAGAAAAAAAAGTCCAGCAAGATGTTGTTTTAGGTTCGGCGGTTTCAAGAAATCCTCGTCCATCGAAGGTAAATGGGCCATACCCCGGTGGTTCCCAACTCACTTGGGATCCAGTGGATGGCCCCAAAAAAGAAACAAACTTGTTGTAACATGGTCTTCCAAAAATAAATGATGTCCATGAACTCAGGAAGTGAGCCAAATGCCATGGCCCATGGATAGAATGACTGGGCTCCCTTTGGTTTGCCTTAATGTTGGGGAGTGATTAATAAAGGGCCCCCCCCCCTCAAACGAATTGGGGGGGGTCAATAGCGAGAACCCCCAAAAACGAAATGGGGGTCAGACTGGGACCTGCCTGAGTAGTTTTCCAGTAAGTATTGTTTAGAATTGGTTTAGTATTGGTTTAGTATTCCTGTGAGCTGGCTCACTACGGTTTAGAATTGGTTTAGTATTAGTTCAGTATTCTTTTCAGTTGACTCAGTTCAGTTTAGAATTGGTTTAGTATTGGTTCTTCTTCTTGGCAGGCTGCCCTGGCATTTTTGTTCACAATTCCCTACCCTTAAACAAACTGCATTATTGCCTTCCTGGGGGTTCCGTGTGCCACCCCCTTGAAAATTTGTCAGGGTGCATCTTCTAGTAAAGGGATTGATAAGGAATTTGGTAGTTTGGGACAGGAAGCAATCCAGAAATTCTGGACATTCCTGGCTGGACTCAGACGTTTCAACTCTCAAAAATAGTCCATTCTTGGAAGGGGACATATTTTCGGGATTTCGGGCAGTTTTTTTTTTCCTGTAATACCTACCATTTTTGCTTTTCAGGAGAGTGAATAATTTTTCGATTTTTTCTTTCATTCACTCCCGTTTTATTAATCGCTATCTAGCATTACGCACCTCAAAAAGGGTCGCCTCAAAAAACGCCAGAACCCTCCCTGCCGCAATCCCCCCCCCCCAGTCATTTTGGGCTCCCTAGGCAAAAGACCCACTGGTGAGTTGCCATTCCAAGGGTCCAATGTCTGGGGCCCCGTGCTTCACCACTTTCAAGCCCGAGTGGATGAACCTCGCTCCGAGAGAGTGGACGAATGCTGCGAGACGGGTTGTCACAACCCGGCTCACCCCCCAGGCAAGCCCTCCACCGGAAAAAGTCACAAGGCGTGTAAAAGCATCAGAGCTGAGAAAGGACACATGGAGTGCCTCCCCGATACACAACTCGATGCAAAACTCGATGATTGACCCCCCTTCACTTACGCGCGGTCATCATGTTTGTATCAGCCTGTGCGATTGTCTAAAGCTGCTGAACCACCAAAAACACTGGTTGTGTGGATTGTTCAATAAAACTAAATGCGTGGTTTCACCAAACTAGGAATGACAAAAGATTGCCATTTCTGTGTTTGAAGCTTGAAGGTGACTACGGCCGCTACCGTCTTGCTTAGTGCACCAATGTGTTCTGGGTTTGCGTTGCGAGTGGCTGCCTGTGGGTTGTTCACAATCCGGAAGTTCAAGAACAGCCACACATTTGGACAAAATGATCTTCGAAGCAGGGTATCCGCGAATGCAGAGCCAAAGCTTCAGTTTGACTTCACCTGCGTGCATGTGGTCGTGGGGTCTGATCTTACCGCCCTCCCAGAGACTATGAAAAACATGCTAGGCGCTTCCATTTTGGACTCTCGAAGGGTACTGTAAAAATTACGACCAATAGGTTTCTCCTGTCATCATGACCGTGTGTGGTCTTAGAGTAGCCCACAACCCCATTCTAGCTCTTTCGTAGGTCAGGTTGGTTGGGTCAGGCAAGGCAACCTAGACTGCCGCAGCCTGGGGAAGTTGTCTGCATGCATGAAAATTGAGGAACATCTGGGCCCTCTGGGTGACTACGCAAGCGCAAAGTTTCCCAAAAGGACGGACACCATTTTCACAATGTCGGACGGCACGGGTAGAGGATGACAATGATTGTGAGGTAGTAGTGCCAATTGAGAATCTGCCAACATTTCATCAACAAACCACAGCTGTCGCCCTGTCGACTCTGCCAGGCAGTGGAGTTAATGAAGAGGTAGAGCAAGCGCGCACAAAGATAGTACTAAATGCAGCAAGCGTTGTGTCAAAAGAATGAATCAGGAATGCGGTGGCTGACGTCCGCAAAATTTGCACTTTGGCACGGCGCCAGGTTAAAAGAGACAAAAATCAGCCTGAAAGCATGCTAAGATGGCGGATGACTTCAGAAGCCAGCAGCAGCGGACATGATGCCTTTAGGTCGAATCTGGCTTCAGATTTGGATGGAGCGAGAAGGCGGTGTATCAGCAAGAATTAAGCCACGAGAAATCATAGACGTTTTGCCGTCTCCTCCAGGAGTGCTAAATTCTCACCCCTCAGAAAACATTGATAAGGTGCCCCGGCGCTGGCTCGCGTTCTTACCGCAAACTCGGTTTCCTTTTAAGCCAACCTGAAAAGGGTACCTTCTAACACAGGCACCCTTATTGTACTGGCTTCGGGCCTCCGCCAAGGGCGCTAAGTGTTAGCTAGCCCGGACCATGACCTTCCCCTGCCCTTAGTGTCCACCCAGCCGTAGTGAAGCGGCTTGAGCCCCACACGCCGTGTCCTTCGGCATCGTGGCAGGACACACCGAGAAGTCCCCAAAAACGTGGACGCCTCGTGTGGCAGGCCGGCTTAGATGTGCGATGAGCACTTGCAGGACTTGTCTAGGAAAAACCTGTATGCATGCATGCATGCATGCCTCCGTCTCTGTGTCTGCATCTGGTTCTGTTCTGTTGTGTTGTGTCTCTCTCTCTCTCGAGTTTGCTGTGTGCCTCGTGGCTCTCTCTCTCTCTCTCTCCCTCGCTTTGTGTTGTGTCTCTCTCCCTCGCTTTGTGTCGCGTCCCCCACATGTCCCCCTGTGGTCCTCTGTGGTCCATGGAGTGATGAAAAGTACTAGCCAATTACAGAGTGTCCCGAGTCCCTGGCACGACTAACAGGAACCCTGGCTAGGAAGCGGTCCAAA